AGAATGGAGGAAAAGGCTGGAAAAAGTGGTTTGACGGTGGAGATGAGAGAATTTGATAATTTTATTTGTGAATCAGAGCTGTTTGACATTCCTCTTGTGGGCAGAAAGTACACTTGGGCAGAAAGTACACTTGGTATCAGGCTAATGGTAAATCCATGAGTAGACTAGACAGATTTTTGCTTTCTGAAGGGTGGCTATCAAAGTGGGATGAGGCTAGACAATGGGGATTATGCAGAACAGTATCAGATCATTGTCCAATTCTGCTTAGACATAATAAAGTTGACTGGGGGCCTAAGCCATTTAGATTTTCTAACTCATGGCTGGAATTAGAAGGGTGCAGAGAACTGATAAAAGATGTGTGGAGCAAGGCTAACATTCAAGGGTGGGCTGGATTCCGCCTTAAGGAGAGATTGAAATTAACTAAGGAGGCTCTAAGGAAGTGGAACCAAAACCTAGTCTCGGATATTGACAACAAAATAAACAAAGCAGTAGCCGAGATTGCTTAAGTAGATTTAAAGGGAGAGAGGGAACAGCTGATGGAGGAGGAGATCAAAGCGAGAAGGGAGGCCTTTCTAGATTTGTGGAAGAATCTAAAGCACAAAGAAAGCATGCTGCAACAGAAATCAAGGAAAACTTGGCTGCTAAATGGAGATGCGAACACAAAGTTTTTCCATAATTGTGTGAAAGGAAGATGGAAGAGAAATGAAATGAACAGCATATATGTGCAAGCAACCCAGATTGTAGAAGTGAGCAAAATGAAAGAGGAGATTTCATCTTACTTTGAAAGTATGTTTAAAGAAGAACAGGGGGAGAGACCGAAATTAGATGGGATATGCTTCAAACAAATAACTGGGGAAGACAATAGCTCACTCATCAAACCATTCAATGTAGAAGAGATAAAGGCAACAGTAAAAGATTGTGATAGCTCGAAAGCACCAGGCCCCGATGGAATCAATTTCAGATTTGTCAAGAGTGAATGGGAGGTAATTAAAGAGGATGTCATAGGATTCCTACAAGATTTTCACAAGAATAGCAAAATGGTGAGGGGACTAAATACCTCTTTCATAGTCCTCATCCCAAAAGTGGATAATCCACAGAAGATTGAGGAATTCAGACCCATTTCTCTCATTGGTATGATGTACAAAATTCTTGCAAAAATTTTAGCCAACCGGTTAAAGAAGGTACTTGATGGGGTAATTGGTGAGCAACAAATGGCGTTCATCAGTGGTAGACAATTAATGGACGGGGTTGTCATAGCAAGTGAGGTGGTCGATGAGGCAAAAAAAAGGAAGAAAGAAACTTTCATGTTTAAGATTGACTTTAAGAAGGCTTACGACAAAGTAAATTGGAGTTTTCTGGATTATATGATGCAAAGGATGGGGTTTTGTGCTACTTGGAGGAAATGGATCAGAGTGTGCCTGGAAACAAGCTTGGTCTCAGTCTTGGTTAACGGAAGTCCGACAAGACAATTCACAGTTTCCCGAGGACTTAGACAAGGGGATCCTCTATTCCCTTTTTTATTTTTAATAGTTGCCGAGGGGCTAAATGGTTTAATCTCCACAACTTCACAAAAGGGCCTACTTGAAGGAGTGCAGGTGGGGTCTCGCGAATTCAAAGTATCACACCTTCAATACGCCGATGATACAATTCTGTTCGGAATAGCTTCTGAGGAAAATGTCTGGGCAATGAAAGGAATACTTAGATCATTTGAATTGGTTTCGGACCTGAAAATTAATTTCAATAAAAGCCAGCTTGTGGGGATAGGGGTGGAAGAAGATTGGCTGGAAAAAATGTCCTGGGTGCTATGCTGCAAAAGAGGATCATTTCCATTTAAGTACTTGGGGATTCCCATTGGGGGGAGCTGCAGAAAGCTTGCTTTTTGGAAACCATTGCTGGACCTCTTCTCAC